CCCCAGCCTGTGCTCCGTTTCGTCCCCCTAAGCCGCTTCTGGGGCATGAAGTAGGGTCGCCTCCTTCTTCCGAAATGCCCGCGTGGGATGTGGTGGAGCCGGAGGGATAGACTGGAGTTGTCTCCTACGGAGGAAGCCCATCGGGAGAAATAACAAAAGGCCAAAGTTTCTCTTTTGGCTTCGTTTTGTCTGTCCGCTCTCTTCCGCCTCCACCATCCCGTTTTTCTTTAGACGCCGCTTGTCTTTCAGTCTGGCTTTCAGAAAACGGGGCGAAATTTTTTCCGTAGAAACGACCACGATTATTGTAAATGAACCATTGTTTTGAGATACTCTGTGCTCTGGCACTTTCTGAGCCATATAGAGTTAAAAGGTCTAGCCCAGGTTCAAATAAGCAGAAGGGAACATACATTTAATTAGGAACTTCCAGTAGGTTGTTTTTCCAGTAAGTAAGTACACTAGGTCTATTTTATGTATTTACTGTATTTTCAGGTAGTCGAAAATTCTGTCTGCAAATAGATTGTGGGTAACAGAAATCTCATATTTACTATTCATTAGCAAAACAAGCTGAAATTTAACTGTGCTCTACTTACAGAAGAAAGGCATAAGCTTGTTTATTTGCTAGTACATATTTTACCATAACCTTTGTGATTTGAGTTAAAGAAGCAGGTAATACATATTTTTATAGCTGTTTCTTAGGAGCTGTCAGTTCTCACCTCAGTGAATTTATTGTGGTGAGAGCTGCTTTGTCTGGACCCTGTGAAATATAACACCAGCAGTCTTTAGACTATGGATAAATATATAGGCAAGCTGAGTGCAAAATAATAATTTATACTACCTTTTACTGTCCCACATAAATGAATGAACCTGTGCCTCATGAATGAATGAAACTCTGGTTTTGTGTATGTGTTCGCCTCCCAGAGTTTCCTGGATAGATGGGTGGCCTTATAAATTGGATTAATAAAAATAAATACATTGAACCAACCTCTTCATTGTGTTTGTGCTAAATAATGGGCAATTTTGTATAAACCTTTGTTAGCTGAATTCTTTCAGGATCTTGACATTTAAAAAGAATACATATTTGTAATAGTAATCTTAGATATAATCTTATATCTAGATATAATTTTGCACATGAACCAAGCATCCAGACAGCTATAATTTTGCTCATTGAGGGTATTTGATTCTCAGTGATTTTTCCTCTCAGTTTGCTAACTATATTGTTTGTTGCATAGGAATTAAAAAGTTGAACTTAGAGCTTTTTTGAAGCCACATTTTCTGAATGTGTGCTTTATCAAAAAGTATCTTCAACTATAAAATGAATATTATTGGAACTCTAAAATTTGGGAATCTTCCAATATTGTGTAGCATCTTAGTTGCAGCTTTAACAGATATTTTATGTTTTTATTAATGAAGATAGCCTTATTGTGTTTTTGTTTATGCTATTCCTCTCCCTCTAGTTTTGTCCGAGGAGGACAGAAGAGCTAGAGGAAAGTCCAAAAAACTTATTATGGAGCTAATCCACTGTTAATATGCAAAAAAGAGAACCATAAATACAGTATTCTCATAGTGTTCTGTGTGTGTGTGTGTGTGTGTTGTTTTTTACTGCAGGAAGCCAAACCTTCAGCAGAGGATTTGGGTGATAAAAAAGAGGGGGAATACATTAAACTCAAAGTCATTGGGCAGGTGAGTTCTAATATATTCTATTTAACGTTTATCCTTCTTAATTTCACAGGTATAAGCATGTAGATAGTTGGAATTATATATCAGTTATGTCTGTTACAAATATGTTTGAATGTAGTATATATCTAGACTAGTAAATGAAGTTTGTATTTTGTAAACGTAAATATTCTTGCGTAAGAGGACTGTACAAAAATTCAGTTTCTTACAGTCCTGTAATAATCAAGGGTATGATTTTGTACTAGATTTGAGCTTTGTTGGTAATATACAAGTTGTAATTTATAGAAGCAAAAATAGATGTGGCCATTCTTCTAAGCATGCATCTAAAATAGACATTGGGAAATAAACAAATTGACGAATAAGAATCACTGGTGTTGTGAGTTTGGTCAAATCTTTAGAAAGAGTATGTATAATTATTATTGCCTTGAAATTTCTTGCACAACATTTCTTTTCCCCATAACGTATTTAAAGTTACTATTAGGTGACATAACACCACCAGTTTTTATAAACACATATTTATTTACATTTATATAGAACCATCTATAAAGTGCTTTACAAAACAGAGTGACAGAGCATTGCCCAAGAAGTTTGGAATCTAAACATAGATATAATGAATCCATAAATAATAGGATAAATGATTAAGCAAGGGAAGAATGTTTTCATTTCAGTTACTTTCATTACAGTAGTGTATTTTTCAAAAGTATTGAGGTTCATCCTGTTGTGAATTATCCCTTCTAGACAACATCTTTTGTACTGCTGAGCCTGTTTTGAAGAGCTCCAGTCTCCATGGCCAATAATAGAGTTTTGTGGAATAGGTGATCCTCTAGATATTGCTCAACTACATGTTATAGAGCTGTAGTTCAGCTCAATCTACCTTGTATAACTTTCCA